GAATCATACTCGTAAAAGCTCTTCTCTTAGTAGTTCAATAAACTTGCAGTGAGTCTAAGAATAATTTTACTGGTAATCTGAATTTTAAAGTCATGTTTTTTGCCCTTAATAACACACCATTATTGTAACCGTTAGATAAAAATGCGATAAAATCACTAAAAGAACGCTATCGCAATTATCTACTTGTATGTATTGAAGCCTTTTTCTTTTTTTTTAATTTCGCTAACATTAAAATATCATAGTACAATTATATGCCGTATATATGGTATTAAAATTAAAAAAATTTCAATACCAGTATAAATATAATAAGAAAAACACTCAAACGTATAAATATAAGCATATATACACGTATATATGTATAGATGTATAGATGCGCATATATATGAATAGCTACCAATTAAACATAAACGAGGATCTGAAAGAAGACTACAAGATCTTATTGTCAGAACCTTATAAAATACAAGCAAGAAAAATAAAGACAAGTATAACATACAAAAAAAAAAAGTAAAATTAAAAAATAAAAAACTAATAAAACCCAAGTCAAATAACAATTTTCAAAATATTAGAAGTATTTAAGTAAATTATCAAATGAAAAAATAATTTTTTTAAGATTGACCTTGAAAAGATAAAAGGAAGTCGGTTGATCGAGATTTCACAAAACAATATTATTCCATAGGTGTAGTCCACGACAAGCAATGCAAAATTGATTAAATTTTGTGTGACAAAAAGGCTCATTTAATAAATTTATGTTTCTCATATCGTATTTGTTGTTAGATTTGAGTTTTAAAATATTATTAAAAGCGGTGGGGATAAATTATTTCACCATAAATATACAAAACATAAAATTTAAATACATTGAGTTCAAATAAATTTAATAATCTCAATTCAGTAAAATAAGTTGTTGTATGTGTAAAACATACAACACCTTATTTTACTGCATAGTTAATTATGCGGATCGCATGTTTTTGACGACGCGTCGTCAGGGTTAAAAGTAAATTAAAACTTCTTTATCGTCGCGACAATAAAGAAGTTTTAATTTACTTTTAACAGTACTCCCCCAAGCAGTGTTAGCATAATTTATATAACTGTGGATAAATAAGTAATAAAGTTGGCTTAAGTAATTTTTATTATAGTAGTTACGAGCTTTATATAAAATCCCAATGTTTTGTTAAATTTTATTAGTAATATAATTAATGTGTTGATTCCAGAAGATGTTTTCAAGAAAAACGCGTTAGAATTTTGTAACGGAATCATATTTTATTTCAATTTCGTCTATATAAAGATGTGGCAAGTTTGTTGGTAATAATTGCTTTTTTGCATACGAATAGAGCAGAGTCCATTCGGTTTTATTAATATTTAAAGTTAGCTTATTACATTTAAACCAGTTTGATATACGTTTTAGTTCTTTATTCATAGTGGTTAAGAGTTCATATATATTACTGCTTGAGAGGAATAGGTTGGTATCATCTGTGTACATGATACTTATAAAGTTGGAAGCTTTATTAAAATCATTTATATATATCAGGAAAAGTAGGGGTCCGAGGATTGAACCTTGAGGGATACCGCATACGATTTTAAGATAATTATTTTGATAACCATAGTTACTAATTACAAATTGTTTTCTTTTTAAGTAGCTTCTAAACCATTTTAAAGCAGTACCTTTAGTTCCATAATATTTAAGTTTCTGCAGTAAAATATAATGATCTACAGTGTCGAAAACTTTTGATCGGTCAATTAAGATACCTAACAGGTACTGTGATTTTTCAAAAGACTTCGAGATTTCATGCACAAACTAGATTATTGCATGTTCCGTTGAGTTACCTTTTATAAAGCCGAATTGTGTGTTATATAGTACGTTATTTTTGTTGAGATGTTTGTGTATTCTATTAGGCATTATTTTTTGTAAATTTTTTGAAAATACCAAAAGAACAGAGATGGGACGATAGTTGATAATATTCGATCTGTCACCCTCTTTAAAGAGAGGAGAAATTTTAGCAACTTTTAATTGTTCCTTGGTTAATAGCTTTATAAACTTTAAAAAGAACATGTTTTAATATATCGAAATAGTCTATAATTACATTTCCACTAATTTCATCTGCTGCTGTTGCTTTGTTTCATTTCAAAGAATTCAAAGCTACTTCAAATTCCTCAAAAGATAATTCTGAGGTTAACTCATCGGAACAAATGCAACTATCCATAGGTACGAGAAAATCATTAAAAGTAGTCGTCATATTTGGAATCTTATTTGATAGAGAAGGACCTATCCCAATAAAAAATTTATTAAATTCATGAGATATGGTAGGCCGGTGGCCAACATTGATAATCGCTTCATCCCGTTGGACACATCTAATAACTGAAATTTCTATATTGAATCAAGCGTTTCTTAGTATAAATGATTTAAAAATATAAACTTGCCCCTTTTTTACTCAACAGTTTCTTTCACAATCGATCGTTTTACTTTTTTTAATAGTGCATTATCGTTTTCCAATAATTAGTCTATCGTTGATAATTAGTAATTTACGGAACAACTAAAGCGGCCAAATGTTATTCAAACTTTTTAATAAATATTTCCGTAAAATATCTCTGTCACGTTTAGTAAAAATATAAACAAACAAAATGGCAGCTATATTGTTAAGCGATAATATTTGTTTAATTCATTTTGATGATATACCGAATAAATGCGACAAAAAATGCATTTATTCAAGACATAAGTCAAATAGACTTTGTTACGGACAGGTATCCAACTATTAGTATCAAACACCCCGAGCGACAAAGACGAGCTGAATCTGGTGTCCAGAATGATACTATATTTGGGCCTGATTAAAAAGTACCGAAACAAAAAAGAAGTTTATGAGTGTTGGCAGCAATATTGAGGAATTGGTAAAGTTTTTCTAGAAAGAATAGAAAGGTTAAGCATTAAATGAAATAGAGATATTTTTTACACATGGTTATAGCACATACTACTTTAGAAATTTGATTTGTACGGAATTGCCCGAACTTCGTAGCGACCACTTTGAAACAGGATGCAGAAACAAATAACGTATCCTTAATGTAAATAAAATCGCAAAAGAGATTGGTTACAATTGGAGTGATGCAATAGATAGGTAAACAGATATAGATATATAATTTTTTTTGTCAATATATATTTTTTTGTTTACAAAATTGTTAACGTAATAAATTGACTGGAGCAAGTAAAAGACAATGGTCTTATCACCTTGCCCCGTTAATTTCAATATATTTTACAATAAATATCAATTAAGTATAAGATAAGCACAAGTTTTAAGATATTTAAATATTTATAAATATAAAAACTCGTATGATTAAAATAGCCAAATAAATGTATCTTTATAAATATAAATACAATTAAATGCATTATTATAAATATAAGCAGGGCCGGCGCGAGTAGGTGCCACGTGAGGGGGTGCCATTACAACTTTTGCCGACTGAAAAAAAAAAAGGTCCTCGTTTTCCGAAATTTGCCGTCTGCCATGACGACATTTGCCGACTGTCTAACCCATATCGACATTTGCCGATTAACTAGTCTAAAAAGGTCCAATTTACCGACTAAGGGTCCAGTTTGCCGACTAAAGATCAATGATGGGGAAGGGGGTGTCACCCCCCTTGCACCCCCTATCGCGCCGGCCTTGAAAATAACCATAACCATTTCCAGCTATTGTGGGAAAAAAAAAATTTCAAGACGTGAGTTTTTTAAAAATAAGAGATTGTTTCCGTAATGTTGAGGTCAAGTAACTGTTGTTTAATAACGCATTTAAAATATTAAAAAGAGTTTATCGTTTTAATCTCATTTGAGAGAAATGAGTTCCACAATTGTGGTCCTCTTCTAGATATTGAGAATTTGGATTGTCTCAAAGACATTTTTGGAATATAGTAGTTTTGCTGAGAATATTTTGTTTCGTATTTATGATCAATAAGTTGGAAGTAATTATGGAATATTTTTGGGACCAAATTATTTTTTAATTTAAACATAAACTGTTGGTACTATAGATGTTTTGTTTACAAATATTAAGAACTCTCAGTTTTTTCATTATTTGTTTAGCACTAGCATATCCATTAGTGAATATGCGGTATGCTTGCGTTTGTTTTTTATAGACTAAGGTTAGTTTTGATTGGTAAGTACTTGTTCAGGCAGCATTGCAGTAGCTAATGTAGCTATGAACAAATGCAATGTATAAACCTTTTAGACATTTTTATTTAAAATATACTTAGTTTTATGCATAATCCCAATGCTTTTAGATATTTTATTTTCTAACAACTTGGTATGATCTTTCCAGTTAATATGCTCATCTAGAATGACTCCTAAAAACTTCACAGTAAATGCTCTTTTTAATTTTGTTTTGTCAAATAAAATATCTGGGAGTATTAATAGCAACGTGTCTGACTTTGATGGTTTTGTGAAAAGAATGTATTTGCTTTTTTCAATGTTTAAGGAAAGTTTGTTGGCCTTCAACCAATTGCTTAGCTCTTCAAGCTCCTCATTTACTATGTTAAAAATATTTTTAATATTTGAGTGGGTGTAAAAAGCTTGGGTGTCATCATTAAAAAGGATAAAATTTATTATACGATAAGATAAAAATATGTCGTTAATACAGACAATAAAAAGCAAAGGACCTAGAATAGTTCCTGGGGAACGCCACAGGTAATGGTTTCAAGGGAAGTGTGAGTTTTATTGTAATATAAAGCTTGTTTCCGATTGTTTAGATAGCAACTAAACCATTTTAGATTTTTATTTTTTATACCATAATTACTAAGTTTGTATGGTCGGATTCCATTATTTTACTGGTAATGATTAGATTCCATTCTTTTACAGGTAGATTCAAGTTAAATTGTATTAGTGAAAAAGTTATCTTTTTTACAAAGAATTTATTTCATGCACTATTTCGCTACTTTATCAAAAATAATATATTAAATTGTTCTCTTGATCTAAATTAATTTTCTATCTGAAAACGTAAATGTTTAAAGTGTTTCTACTTATTACTTAGGTTGTGATGCAGTGTCTGCGTTTCAAGGAAAAGCTAAACTATATCTCCTAAAGACGGCAAAATTCGCTTATTTTACATATTAAGCGTGCCAATTATGATGCTTACATTCAAAAAAATGCATTGAAAGGTATATTAAATGTTCCTTTGCCTGATGGCAATGGTTTTAGGTATTTAATATATAACTTTTGTTTAATTTTTGACGATTTTTTTAATGCCTTTGTAATCCAGGGACTTTTTGAGTTTTTATTTGTTTTTATTATTTTTTTAACAATTGGAAAATTAGCGTCGTAAACAGAAAGCAATGTTTTATAAAATATTTTGTTGATGTTATTTGCATTGTCATTAAAATTAATATGATTCCAATGGAGTAAAAATAGCTGATCTTTAAATTGTTTAAGATTTTTTTCGTTTTAAAATACGTTTTTTTACAACTATTGGGGTGTTAATATTTTTTTCTAAATTTGAGCCTTAAGATGGAATAGTTTCAACACTAAAAAAAAATAAAGTTTAAAGATGTTGCTTATTTAGTGGTGCAGGCATGGAATGAAATTGTCAGTTATACAAAACTCATTTAAACAGCCTTTTCATCAAGTGATGAAATTAAATACAAAATTTCTTCTGATCACTTTTCAGAAGAAGATGATATTCCCTTGGCAAGATTCTATAATTTGTTATTTAATGATTGTAATTTAGCAGATACTGAAATTATGGAGTAGGCAAGGAAAACAAGCGAGGCGAATCATACATTTAATCTATATATATATATATATATATATATTTATATATATATATATATATATATATATTTTATATTATATATATATATATATATATATATATTATATTTATATTTATATTATATTATATATATATATATATTATATTTATATTTATATATATTATATATATATTATAATATATATATATATATATATATATATATATTTATATATATATATATATATATATATATATATATATATATATATATATATATATATATATATATATATATATATATATATATATATATATATATATTGTTGCTTTGGTTATTTGATAATAATCACCTCTTTTTCGATTTGAGAGTGATTAATATAAAGTGAAATAATCACAAAATAGATCAATAAATAAATATTCTTATCTAAACTTTTATATATATATATAACTCTAGTAAACTAGAGTCTGAAAAAGAGTTCATAAATATATATATTGAGTAATATATATATTGAGTAACAAGTAAACTAGAGTCTGAAAAAGAGTTCATAAAAAGTTCATATTTTAGTCTTTTTTTGAATGTTTCTAGAGAAGTTGAGTTTCGCGTGTTCAAAGATAAACCATTCCAAATTCGAGATGCAGTCATACAAAAAGATTTTGAGCCTAGGGAGGTTTTTTTTTGACGACGTGTAAGTTGGCAACTGTCTAATGATCTTATATTTTGCTTTGAAGTTCAAACTTCTAGGAGTTCAAATAAATATGCAGGAGATTTTGATAATAAAATTTTATATGTGATAACTGATATTTTATAGATTATTTTTTGATGTATTGGTAACCAATGAAGAGATTTCAGCAATATTTCTGATTTTAAATGGAAAGGAGAACGGAAAACAATAAGAGATAAGTTATTTTGAATTCGTTGAAGTTTTTTAATATTTTTTTGATAAGTGCCAGATAAAATGCTGTTACAATAGTCAAACTGAGAGTTAACGATGCCACAAGCAATTATGTTTGCTGCTTCTTTAGTCAGACATGGAACGAATGTGGCGAAGTGCACGAATGTGGTAATTGCAGGATTTAATAATATTGTTTATGCACTTGTCCATAGAGAGCTTTGAATCTAGGATGACTCCAAGGATTTTAACTGATTAACGGAATTTTTAACGGAATGATTGGATTTGATCGATAAATAGCAACAATATTGTAGATAGTATTTACCAGATTTATTTTAGCTGATGTACGTTCATAAGACAGACAGGTAGATGATAATGAGAGTGGCTTGATAATTAAGTTGTCTCTATATATTATTGCAACTCCTCCTCCACGATGGTCTGATCGGTAGTATTGAATTGTTTTAAAGCCTGGTGGGGTCATATCTTCTTTAATTGCAGTAGGGTTGTCCAACTTTATCCAAGTTTCAGTGAGTATAAAAATATATAGAGAATGATTTTGCACTATATCATGAATGAAAGCAGATTTTTTCATGGCAGATTAAACATTTTGGATACCCAAGTTTAATGCAAAGGTTCTTTTAATTTTTAAATGTAAATTATGCTAATTTACTTTCGATCCATTTGAGTTCACCTTATCGTATACCCCAATAATATTTTTTTCCATTGTGCACATTGTATCGTTGCCTCCCATTTGTTCCCTCAACCTCTTGAGCAAGTGCTGCATTTCTAGTATTTCTAACTCTTCTGAGTTCACTTTTGAACAATCTCTCGTTTGCTGTTTTGTCTTTATTAATTAAAATATTTTTGAAGTTATTACTTTTTGGAATTTTTAATTAAAAAATTTTGAGTTTTTTTGTTCTCCAATCCAACTAAGATAAGGTCAGGTGGTCCTCCTGGTCTTTTAGCATTTTTAGTTAGTCAAATTATTCTTTTTGCATTTGTTATTGAAAAATCTGGTTTAATTGCTTTTAGTATTGTTTCAATGGTTTGTTTATCATTTTCTTCGTTAACTTGTTTGTCGAAAGTAGTATGATCAGCAACTTTACATATAACGATGTTGTTTTTTCTTTTTTTGTTATTAAACTCGTTTATAATTTTTGCCATCATTACTACTTTAGTTTCTTTTGGTTTTAATTGATTTTTCTGAATTGATGTTGCCTGTGCATATGTGAATATTGTTGTTGGTTTATTTGTTGTTGCTGTTAAGTTATTTATCTTTTCATATTCAAGAATTTTAAGTCGTTTTAAAAGGTCTGAAACAATATATGATATTTTGCCACACCATTTATGCATGTTTTTGGTAATTTCAGCAGATGCACTTGAATTTGTTGGCCAATTTGGTTCTTCTAAGCATTCATAGTCGAATTCCATGCTTTTTTTATTTATTTTTTTCAAATATATGAGAGGGTTACCACACTAAATAAAAGTGGATTACCTCCTGATGTCTTCTGAAGGAGGGCTATCACCCTGAATAACAGTGGATTACCTCTTGAGTATATATATATTAACCTTATTACACAGGGATTAAAAAGTTTCAGTATGTGTTTTCCGTATATATATATATATATATATATATATATATATATATATATACATATATATATATATATATATATATATATATATATATATATATATATATATATTAATCAAAATGAATAGAAAAATAGTTAAGAGCCATAAAAAGTTAAATAAAAAATTAATAAAAGCTGTTTATAAATTCATTACAGCTTTTATAGTATGTATTCCAGAGAAGCCAAAACTTGCGAACGGTCTCTATAAAACTTTCTTTGCTAAATTTACATCCAATTTGATCTTAATTTTTCTTTTTTGATACCACACGATACGAGACCATCTCTCTTGGCATCAACTAACACAATACAAATTATCTCTTAACTAAAACTTAGTGCGTTTCTGATGAAGCAAATGTCAAACTAATCTCCGATTACAAGATTTTAATTTAATCCCATTTGCGTTAAATAAAAAAAAGTTAGAAAGAAATATCAGATAAAATATTGTTTAGGTCTAATTGTCCAAGTCCAAAATAGCACATCCTGGGACGTACATTGGAGGTATATTTTCTTCTCCCTGTGCTACCTTTACGCATGCGTGAATGTAAAATCTTTTTAAAAAGGTTAAAACAACATAGTTTTAAAAGTTGTCCGTTTTTATGTTAAAAAAAATATTTTGTTATAGTTATCAAATATTAAATTATAGTTTAACTATATATCTATACAATATTATCTAAATCTTGTATCTAATTATATAGATATATAATATTTCACTAAATCTCATATCTTATCTCAGAAGTTAGGCTTTAGAGACTTTTGGAAAATTTTCAACAGCGTCGTTAACAAAGTAAGGTCTAACATTTCATCTCTCATTCATGAAACTAATCTTATCACCTCTCCCAAGGATTAGGCAAAACTATTTACAAAGAACTTTTCTTCTAATTCGACTCTTGAATCTTATGACCATCTATTTCGTCCATTCCAACTAAAAAGGTTAACTTATTGATCGACATTCCAATCACTTAAGCTTTCGTTGTTAAAGTCATATCTCGATTAAACTCTTCTAGGGCTTGTGGTTCAGACAACATTCCTGTCATAGTCTTACAAAATTATTTTCCAGAACTCTCTTCAATTCTCTTAAAACTATTTAACAAGTGATTGATTGAGTTTTGTGTACCTGCCCAGGGGCGTGTCTAGGGGATGTCCGCTACGTCGTTAGACCTACCCAAAAAAGTTAAATAAAAGTTTTTCAACTTGATTATATTGTTAAAAAAAATCTTATTATTTATAACTATTAAAACCAAACGGCAGCTAAAACTAAACAAATAATGCACGGTTAATTATCTTAAACGGTTGGAAAAAAATTAAAAACATGAAAACGGTTCAAATTCCAAAATATTAAAAACCGGAAAATAGTATATCGGTTTCAAAATTTTGCGATTGTTAAAAAATAATAATTACAATATTTTGATGGAGGTTAAACTAACTTTTGAGTTAAATAACTTAATTAAAAACTTGAATTGACATACCTTATTTTATTTTGTTGTATGGAACTCTATTTAAATTTTTTCTTTCATTGGTTTAAAAAAAATCAAAATGATTATTTCAGTTAGAACAAACTTTGGACTTCTCTTTTGACTGAGTAAAATTTTTATTGAGTCTTGTTGTTTAACTATCATCAGGAGGTAAAATTAGTAAGTAACAACTTGTATATATTAAAATACATCAATAGACATTCCCAGTTTTATTACACTAGACTGTGTATCATTTTAATAACTTGCACTTTAAGTAATAAATAAGGAGAGAAAAGATTTCAAATGTGTAAAATAAATTTCGGATTTTCCTTTTAACGTACACCCTGAGTAGATTTTTTATCAAGTTTTATTGTTTAACTATCATCAGGAGATAAAATTAGTTAGTAACAACTAGTATATATCAAAATATAT